CAGGCCATTTGCTTTTCAATTCCAATATATAGCAAATTTGGGTCTCTCAATCTCTAGAAATGTCTCTGATGAAGAAAATATAAAGGATTTGAAAAGATTACTAAGTTGTATTCAATGAGTATATTGTACAAGAGTAGAGATATATATATATATATATATATTCAGATCCATTTGTTATGCCTAAGATTAAGGAGAGAGTAACATTACTTGACTGTTGCTCATAATATTTCTTGATTATTGTTTTGAGTTTGATTAGCCTGGATACTTTCCTTCTTGGTTTGATTGACTTGGATGGTTTCCTTTGTGTTTGGGCAGCTTTACGAACCTATACCGTAGAGATTTTCACTACTCCAACACTTGAAAAACCCAAGGATGTTTTTTTGGGAGAAACACTCCAACGCTTAAATTAACAATGCTTAACATTCTAGAGGGAGAGAGGCTCTCTAAAGTAATTATAGAGAGAGATGCATAATGAAGTTATTACCTTTATAACCCCCAAGTGATGACACAAGTTTACACAAGTAAACATTTGATTGGTTCACATGTTCACATCCACATGGGCATGTTTGAACTAAGGTATGGATATACTTTCATTTTGGGTTTAGGGATAGACAACTGGGCCTACTGTATGTGGCCCAAGTGGAATGTTGGACCCACTCCCAACACTTTGGTTTTTGCTTCAGTCTCTCCTTCTCCTTCATATCTGAAGACAGGTCAGAAAGGAGGAGTGTCTTCTAGACAAGGTACCAGCACTGAAGAAATTTAAATTTTACATTTTTATAAGGCTTTAAAGTCGATAGTGAAATAAAAAGGCGACAATAAAAACTATTCAAATAAAAATTTTATAAAAATTATAGATAAATCAAACAGACTCTTACATAATCTTAATTTTATATTAAAAAAAAAAGGCAAATATTGTCATTTTAATTGCTTTTTTTTTTTCTTTGTTCTTACCTCCCAAACCATTTGAAAACCCCAAGAAAGAGACTCTTCTTGATGAACTAAACTCAGATTCTTCATCACCAGAACCAAATCCCAAAATTTGCCTTCTTTTTAACATCATCAAACCCACACCTGCATTTCCTTTGTTCTCTCCTCTTTCTCCTCCCTTACCTCTCCATTTCCATTTCCCTCTCAGCTGGAGATTTCCTTCCTGGGTTTTGTATATTTTTAGATACAGTGTAATAATTTTTCTGGGTTGCTGCTGCTATTATGTATAGATTTTAAACAGATGTTTAGACGCCTGCATGATTCGATGACATATGGGTAATATCAATCTGGGCTTGATTTTTTTTTTTTTTTTTATATGGGTACTTTGTCAGATTCCACAAAAGTCTATATGGGTTTTGGAACTTTGTTTGTATCTGATGTGTTCCATTTACTGTCCTTGCCCCTCCCGTAGATCTGTTTCTGAGTATGCTCGATCCATTGCTTTATTCATGCTTCAACAGCGCCCTTGAGGTCAGATCATCCCATTTTTCTATTTCAGGTTATTGCTTTTTGCCTGTATATATTGTTTTCCAGTTTAATTCTCGATTCTGAATCCATTAGCTTTGGATACTGTGATTGGGAAAACTTGGGTTTCTGTTAATTTTTTTGCATAAGCCGTTTATTTGGGTCTCTGAGAATTTGATGATGTTCAGTTGCCGGAATAGTGATTTGGTGGTTACGGGGTTTTTTGGGTTTTTGGGATTTGGTTCAAGTTCTTTCATTTTGGATTTGCTCATAGTGCAAAGTCACAGAAAAGCTTTCTCTTTTGAGGTCTGGTTTATGGGTAATAGGTTGTAGCTTCAGGAAATGGGCAACGGGACTTCTCGTGTTGTCAGCTGTTTCGTGCCATTTAACAGCAAAAGCCGCGTTGATTTAGATTTTTTAGAGCCTCTGGATGAAGGATTAGGCCACTCTTTCTGTTATGTGCGGCCTTCTATTTTTGACTCTCCTGCCATCACTCCATCAAATTCTGAGAGGTTTACTGTTGATTCCAGTACCCTTGATTCTGAGACGCTGAGTGGTTCGTTCAGGCATGATACCGTTGAAGATCCTTCCTGCTTACAAAGGCAGGGCAAGAGTTTCCCTGAAACCACATTCAAAACCATCTCAGGTGCATCTGTTAGTGCTAATGTTTCTACGGCTAGAACTGGTAACCAGAGTGCAATGTTTTCTACTGATGTTCAAGAGCCCGCTGCATCATTTGAGAGTACCTCCTCATTTGCTGCAATCCCTTTGCAGCCAGTACCACATGGCTCTGGACCTCTTAATGGGTTTATGTCTGGACCTCTTGAAAGAGGATTTGCTTCAGGTCCTTTGGATAGAGGAGCTGGTTTTATGTCTGGGCCAATTGAGAAAGGTGTAATGTCAGGTCCCCTTGATGCCACTGACAAATCTAATTTTTCTGCTCCACTTGCAAGGGGACGTAGAAGACGTCGCTTCCAGCGGTTCATGAGGAGTGTTAGTGGGCCAATGAAAAGGACCTTCTCAAGACATTCAATGGCATCCAGTTGGATGCAACGGTTTTTCTTGCATCCAGTGACTCAATTGGCCTGGCATGTTAGGGAGCCAAAGTTTCGACCAGAAAACTCACGAAATTGTCTTGAGGGGGGGCCTTCTGAAGGGGAGTATGGAAATAATCGAAACTTGCAATGGGCTCATGGGAAGGCTGGTGAAGATAGAGTCCATGTGGTGCTTTCTGAAGAACAAGGGTGGTTGTTTATTGGGATATATGATGGTTTTAGTGGCCCTGATGCTCCAGATTTTCTCATGAGCCATCTTTACAAGGCCATAGACAAGGAATTGGAAGGATTGCTTTGGGATTATGAAGATAAATTGGCAAATGATCAATCAAAACCTGAAAATTCTAAAAATGGAAACCCTGATGCTAGTCTAGAGGGCAGCAAAGACACTCAGTCCAATTCTTGTTCTGGCCAAGCAATATTTTCTGGTACAGGAGAATCACTTAATCAAGAAATTGTCATGGGCCTATCATCTAACTCTGAAATAGTTGTGGAAAATGATGCTGAAGCAAGAGCTCAGGAATTAAAGTCATCCAATTGTGAAATGTACAACAGTCCAGGTATTGTATCTGATACTGTTCATTGTGCAAACTTAGCAGGTCAAGGAAGAAAAAGCAGGCGGCTTTATGAGCTGCTTCAGATGGAACGAAGCAATGATCAAGGTTCTTGGCCAATCTCACAAATTGGTAGCCAAGGAAAGAGTTCTTCTGATTGCCAGTCAAGTGTAGATAATTTGGAAAGGAAGGACTCAAATCATAGAGATGATAGTTCTAGACATTGTGTCGAAGATCCAACCACTTCAGGAGAAGATGGAGGTGTTGCACTTGATTCTGTTAATGGAGGTGCCACTGCTGCTCTTTCTGTTTCATTACAAAGACAGAGTACAAGAAGGTTCTTGATTGGTTCTAAGATTAAAAAAATGTATCAGAAGCAGAAGTCATTACGTAAGAAGCTTTTTCCTTGGAGATATGATTGGCACAGAGAAGAAATATGTGTTGATGAGAGAATGGTTGAATCCTCAGGACCTATTAGGAGGTGTAAGTCTGGAATTGTTGATCATGATGCAGTTTTAAGAGCGATGGCTCAAGCACTTAACAGCACTGAGGAGGCCTACGTGGAAATGGTGGAAAAGGATCTTGATATTTACCCAGAGCTTGCTTTGATGGGTTCATGTGTTCTAGTAATGTTAATGAAGGATCAGGATGTATATGTCATGAACCTTGGAGATAGCCGTGCGATATTGGCACAAGAAAGACCAAATGATCACCATCCAAGTCCAAATTTTGTGAGGGATGACATAAGGCATAGGAATAGATCAAGAGAGTCATTAGCGCGCATGGAGCTTGACAGAATATCTGAAGAGTCTCCCATGCATAACCAAAATAGTCAGGTTAGCATAGTAAACAAGAAGAGAGACATCTCTATCTGTAGATTGAAGATGAGGGCGGTTCAGCTTTCCACTGACCACAGCACAAGTATTGAAGAGGTTTGCTTCATTCTTGACTGCCAAAACTATACATGTATTATTTATATATTTGATTTGTGTATTAATAATATTGTAAACTGTAGACGTTTTCTTTACTCATTCTATATAGGCATGTGCACTTGCACTGTCTGTATACGTGATGTGCCCCTTTGACATTTAAGAGGATATGATTTCTACATTTAGTATGAGCTTGATCTGAGAGGTTTCTTTGTGAAATTTTGACTGATAAAAGCTTCTCTGACGCATGTCATATTTGTGCAAGGATATTTGAAGGCATCATTTAAACTTAGTTCATCTTATGCTTCAATTGTGATTTTGATTATTAACACAATAGAATCCACCAGAAGACTCCACAAGGGATGTACTATAGCTTGATACTCTGGAAAACTGGTGGAGCATTTGCTTCGAGAGACTTACTTTCCTTTAGTTTGGTAGCATTTGGTAAATGATGAAGGCATAATAAGTTGCTAAATCCATGCCTGAGGTATATAGTATACATGGTTGACTTGGCTGAGAGTTAAGTGGGCCAGTTATGTAGAGAGTTATTTGCTTATTATACTAATGGCTTCAAACATCAGCTACTTTTCTTTAGGATTTGCAGAAATTTGAAGTGATTTTCAAGTTTATGAATATTAAAAAAGGTTCAAATCTGTTTTAAGATTTTATTTCCTATTCATGATTGTTTGCTATTCTGTCTATGGCAGGAAGTTCTTAGAATAAAGGCAGAGCATCCTGATGATGACCAAGCC